GCTGAGCACCACCATCTACCGTTCGTTGGCTTTCCAGGGCAGGAAACTGAGCTCCACTACCTACCGTTCATGTGCCCTCCGTGGCAGGAACCTGAGCTCCTGTTATGCCATGCCATGCTATGCCCTGCATGTGCGTTCCACCACTTACCGTTCGTTGGCTTTCCGTGGCGTTGTCGGCAGATTGGCGCAGATCAGCCGCAAGACACTGAGCTCCACCACCTACCGATCGTTGGCTGTTCCAATGCAGGAAGCTGAGCTCCACCACCTACCGTTCGTTGGCTTTCCGCGGCAGGAAGCTGAGCTGCAACACTTACCGTTAGTGGATTTCCCATAGCAGGAAACTGAGCGCCACGACCTACCGTTCGTTGAATTTCCGCTGCGTTGTTGACCGACAGGTCTAGGTATAAATCAACGGCAAGAAACTGAGCAACACCACCAACCGTTCGTTGGCTCTCCGTGGCAGGAAACTGAACTCCACCACTTGCCTTTCGTTTGCTTTCCATAACCTAACTGAGCTCTACCACCTACCGTTTCTTAGCTTTCAGTAGCAGGAAGCTGAGCTCCAACACCTACCGTTCGTTTGCTTCCCATAGCAGGGGACTGAGCACCGCCACCTACCTTTCGTTTGATTTCCGTGGCGCCATTGGCTGATTCATGTAGAGCAGCTGCAAAAAAATGAGTTTCAGCACCTGCCGTTCGTTGGCTTTCTGTGGCAGAAAACAGAGCTCCACCACCGTAGGACCTACCGTTCGTTTGCTTCCCGTGGCAGGAAACTGAGCCCCACCACGTGCCGTTCGTTGGTTTTCCAATGCAGGAAAATGCGTTCGTGGCTTCCCACATTTTTCCGTTCGTTGGCTTTCCACCGCTTTCCGTTCGTTGGCTTCCCCCCTTCTCTTCCCCCCGGACACATCTTGCGATCATGCGCGCTCGCGAGCATGCGACAACATCACGCGAGTTTGCTAGCATGCGACCATGCGTGGTTTCTCATCAGGAACATTGCCCAAACAGTGCTTGCACTTAGGGACCTATTGCTACTGCACAAGGAATTAGGATAGCACAGCATAGAATGCACAGCATAGAATGCGTAGCATAGAAATTCGGTTTGCCATGCGACCTTTGGGGTGTCAGATGCCGCGGCTGAAACCATTCTCATTCTCCGGAGCCGTTTTCGAGGGTTCAAGTTTCGTTGTGGGCCAACTGCCTTTAATTTTTCAGATAGGCGCCGCGCGATTCGTACCCGCACTTTTTGCCGTCACCCACTCAGGGGAGCACGGGGTTTCCTTTAGGGGCAATGACGGACCGTGCTCTTGAAATGGCCGGAATGCGCTTGGAGGACGAAAGGGCTTCAAAATTGCGTCGGATCGAAGAGGGCACTGCTTCTCAGCGTTACCCAGAGGGTTACAATTGTGCCAATATTGGCGATTCCTACGAGGCCTTTGCTCAGGGCGAGGTGGCCTTCCAATCATGCATCGACAAGGCTCACGCGGCGATGGTCCACGTTGGAAATGATGGCAGCGACGATTCTTGCGACGACCCACACATGGCATACAGCAGCACGGGAACTTCTTCGGCCACGGGCACAGCAACGCAGTTGGCGGTGGGTTCAGCCGCAGCTACGGGCGCACCGCTTGCTCAGACGGCGGTTTCAGCAGCGGTCACACCACGGATATTGGACGAAATTTCAACAGAGGGGACAGCGGGGAACTACGACACAGCGGCTTCATCCTCGCGACCAGGCCAGGTGGAAGCTCAGGTCGGATGCGCGTTGGCTCCATCGGGTGTGGCGGCGGAGGCATCAGCAGACCCTCCATCGAGCTCTAGGGCGGCGGGCACGAGGGACTTACCGATCTACGTCGACGATTCTGAAACGAGCGGCCATGACACCGAAGAGGCAAGTAGTGACACTGACTGAGTCCTCTCGTCCTCTCATCTAAGTACCATGCGACATCATCGCTTTCCCACGATTAGTTTCGCTGTGGTCAACCGAAGCAGTGAAGCCGATTCGAGTTGCATGCCTTTTGCTTGGCTGGCGCATGCGACAAGGCAGCGCAAGCAATGTTTAGGCAAGTAATGCTCACGCGTAGCACATGCAGATGCAGATCTGGGCAGGTCGTACACACGAGATGCCGTCGGGTGTGCTAGCACTGTTAGGGAAATCTTAACTTGCCCCTCAGGATCCGCCCCAAAGCGCATGGAGTTGCGCCGTGAGGTCCAAGCCATAGGGCCCGAAGGCCCCATCCCACGTAGCGTTCAACCCATAGGGTCATGAGTCATAGGTTTTGGCCTTATGCCATATGGGGTCTTATCCCATAGGGTCCTGTCCACAAGGCCCTGTCCCATATGCTCATGTCCCATGAGGTCCTGCCCCAGGGTGTAGGTGTGAGTGTAAGTGAAGGTGTAAGTGCAAGTGTAAGTGTTATGTGTAATTGTAAGTGTAAGTGTAAGGGTAAGTGTTATTGTAAGCGTACGTGGAATTGCAATTGCAAGTTCAAGTGCAAGTTTAAGTGTAATCTAATTGTAAGTGCAAGTGTGATCGTAAGTGCAGATGTAAGTGCCAGCCAACGAGTAAGTGCAAGTGCACGTGTAAGTGCAAGTGCAAGTGTAAGTGCAAGGAGGAGGAGGAGGATGAGGAGGAGGAGGAGGAGGAGGAGGACGAGGAGGAGGAGGAGGAGGAGGTAACAGTTTACGTGCAAATTTGAGTGTATGTGTGAGTGCGAATGCAAGTGTAAGTGTGAGGGTAAAGGTACGTGTAAGGTGTAAGTGTAATCGTAAGCGTAATCGTAAGTGTACGTGTGCGTGCACTTGTACGTGTGCGTGTCGTAAGAGGGCATGGTCCACCTTGACTCTGATCAGTTCAAAACGTCGGCCACGCATCATAGCTTGGAACGCGGTGCCCACGCACCCGACGCCACGATGTCTTCCCGCCGTCGCTTCTTGCATCAACGGGCATGCTGTATAGCCAACACCCCACGCCATGGTTCCCAAGATTTCTGCATGCATAGCATTGCAAGCCATCGCGTAGCATAGGTATCATAACATAGCTCGCCGCACCATAGCTCATGATGCCAACACACAAATACTATATTCTGACATAATATACAGTGTATTGTATCATGGCTACTACACTGCACGTTCTGGTTGTTTATCTTGCGTTGCATGGTGTCATGGCATAGCGGTGCATAGAATAGATAGCATAGCCATCCCAGTTTTTATCCCCCTTTGTCTTCTCCACCAACCGCATGGGGGGGAGCTAGCGCTGTGCCGATAGCCGCGGCAACTCTAGTTAGCGCGCAGTCGCGCGCAGCGTCGCAATGCAACCCGCGGAGGACGCGCCGCGCCCCAACCCGACGGCGGGCTTCGATGTGCCGCGTCCCAAGTGGTGCCCTCCCACCTTTCCCGCTGGCTCAGCGGGGCTGGAGAAGAACTTGAAAGAGGATGAGGCGGCAGAGGAGGCCGCCCCCTCCACCGCCGCCGCCTCCTCCTGGCGACCAGACGCGTCGGCCGTTGGCGATGGGTTCGCGGCCTTGTTGGCCGAGGGGTCGGAGGCCTTGTTTCTCAAGGCCCAACATGCGTCGGTCTTCGCCGACAAGGCGACAGCCACTGCCACGATGGCAAGTCACAGCTCAATTGAACTCTCCACCGAAGCTGCGTTGCGAGCCAACGAGGCCAGGACACTGGCCGAAGGCAGCAGGGCAGCCAAAGCCAGGAAACTGGCCGATGAGGCCCGCCAGAAGGCGGGCGATGCGTTTGAGCTGGTCGATGAGGCCTCCGCCTTTGCAAACGATATGAACCTGGTTGCCGCGGAGCGCTTTTGGGAGGCCCAACTCGTGTGCGATGAGGAATGTCATCGCTTTTACGAGGACCTCAGGTGCGGAAAAGGCACTCGGGCCTCAACCAGCGGCGGAGGAGCGGGGGGGAGGACTGGGCAGCAGCAAGAGAAGGAGGAGGATAAGGAATACGCGGAAGACGAGGATGAGGAGCAGGCGGGTACTCTCCTCCATCCTCCTCGAACCCCATTACTGCATACTGACCTTCCCCTAAACAGCTCGGCCGACCCTATCTCTGCTTCTATCCTCCCCGCTGGGCCAGACCCACCCACTTTTTATCTTCAGGAACCCCGGCGCTAAAGACTCCAACTCTGAAACAATGGCCCCGCATTTTACGTGCCGACCCCACTCGCTTCATTTACCGACCCCGATTATACCGACCCAACCTCTGCTGGCCCGAACTTTATTTCCTGACCCCCAACTGTACCGTCTTGACTCAGGGCGTCCTGGAGGCCTCTTGGGCCGTCTTGGAGGCACATTGGGGCCATCTTGGCAGTCTTGGAGGGCGTCTTGGGCGTCTTGGAGGCGTGTTGGAGGCCATTGGGGGCCATCTTGACCGTCTTGGGGACCATCTTCAGCAATTTGTTGGAGCAGTCTTGGGGCCGTCTTGAGCCACTGGCGGCACGTTCGGTGTTGGTGAGCCCCGAACGTGCCGTGAGGGTGGGGGCGTCGAGACGGGCGGGGTGGGGTTCGGATATGTAAGGCATCTCGACAGAGCCAACGAAAGTGGCGATTGTTTCGCAGGTGGCAGCGCCCAGGGCGAGTACAAAGTCTAGTCTAGTTTGGAAGCGAGGGTCGTTCCACTCCGCTTGGCACCCCAGGCCTTCTGGAAAGTGGCGACAGTTGCGCGAAAAGACAGCACGCATCATATACGTATATGGTAGCAGCTCTATGTGTCGGACACGCTGTCGCGTATGTTTGCATGTGCATTCAAGTGGACGTTGATTGGCTTCCTGCCTTCGTCCAAGACTCTATCCCCACCCCTCCCTCCCCTCCTGCCTCCCTCCCCCTCCCCCTTCCCATCCCCTCTCCCTCCCTCCCTCCCGCAACCCTTTGTCCATCCTGTCAGCGTGATTGGTACTCCGTTTTGTTTTTCCGTGATCATTGCTGCCTCTGTAATCTAAGGCATGCAAGATCATTGAGTGGGGGGATGACGGCTCTCCTCTGATGGAGGCGCTGGGCGACTACCCGATATGCATGTCGTGCGGAGAGACCGTCGTCAGGAACATGCCTGGTGTCAAGTTCGACGACCTCGTGATCGATAAAGACGCCGATGAGTCTAAGGCCGAGGAGCTGTCGAAGGGCATCGGCATGTCAGAGGACGACGTGAAGAACGCGAAACGCATCGCCATGCACGACTCGGCTTCCAGCGACCAGTCGATCTACATGAAATACTCGGGCCTCCGTTTTCCAGATGTTCTCCGTGAGTTCGGAGTGGCACCCAAAGCGCTCAACCTCCCATGCGCGTACTTCAAGACGTTGAAGGGGAGGGGGTTTTACTACATCCTCCAGCGCGTTGAACAGTTCAAGGTGAAGTACCCCACCATCAAACTCGAGAGCAGGAGCAGCATCAGCATTTTCACGAGGCCGCCTGACGACACCGCGCGGCTCATCTACTCCAACCAAGACCAGATGATGTTGGCTGCTGCTAACTCGCAGACCATAGAAGGGACTAGGGACGCCAGCGCCCCGAAGGTCCAACCGTTGCAGTTGTCAATCAACAGCGTCGAAGACCTCAAGGAGGAGGCTGAGAAGCTGAAGAAAAAGAAAACGATGAGGGATAGCAGGAGGTTTAAACGCAGAAGCAACGACGAGCTGCTGGAGGCGGGGGACGTTTCGAGCTCGGACCCTGCCGTGGACTCCGACCATGACCACAACCATCCCATCGCCTTTCCTCCGCCAGGGCCTAAAGGTTCCAGCGGCCCGCTTCCATCGCCGTCGCCACCCGCATCGAGGGCCGGATCAAGGGCGAGCGTGACGACCGAGGCGCCCAACCCCCACCCGTGCGGCACGGTGAACTACTGGTTGTTCGAGCTGAAGTTCGAGAAGGCGTTTGATGGATCCAATCTCGGGCAGCCTCTGAACCAAGCCACGCTGATCCAGCCCAAGCTCGGAGAAGCCGATCGTGCCATCCTGACGAAAAGAATGGACCTCGCGCGGCAGGCGGTGGCGATGAACGTCCACAACTGCCACAACATGAAGGACCAGGATCTCGTGGAGAACGCCAACAATCTACGACAGGCAGGGGCCTTGCCGACCCCGAAGTTGCGGGTGGCTTTGGCGAAGAGGTACACCGACAACACCGTCAAGAAGGTCGACGAGATGACCGATGCTGTTCAGATTAAGGCTGCGCTCGTCGACTACTTGAACCACATGTGCATGTGGAACGGCTCTGGGAAGCTTGGCCTGGACGACTCCTCCGTCGCCAAGCCGCCCTTGCGCCTCACTGGGCTGAAGGATCAGCAGATGGCGCAGGTTTCTCTATGCAAAATCCGCTTCCCCCCAGCTTCTTTACGAGAAGCTTCTCCACCCACCACCCCCGCTTCCCCAGGGGCCTGAGGCACTGTGGGGGAAGGGGGTTAGGGGGGATGCGAAGCTTGGATTGGCGCGAAGATGATCATCGTGAGGGCACGCGGTGGAGGGAGAAAGAGGAAGGAGATGAGGCGGATGAGCCGACGAATGATGCGGTGGGAAAAAAGAAACGGTGGAGACGTAGGGGGAGGGGGGCACGCTCTCTCCTCTAGAGCGCCCGTTCCCCCCCCCACCCCTCTCCTCTCCCTTCCATTCTCTGGAGCATTGTTAGCGCCTTCCCGTCAGGTATTTCGCGACAACGTCATCAAGGTGATGTTGCTTAAGTGGGTCTGCGCTGGAGAGAAAAAAGCTGGCCACGTCGCAGCGTTCATCTCCGCGGCCGCGGATGTGTGGGACCAGGTGCCCGAGGATGCGAACCTCGGCGACAAGTGCGCATTGGAGTTCACCAACGCTTGCGCGGCGATCGCCGTGTTGCAGCTGCTGTCCCACGGGGCCACGTTCGATCTCCTCTGCGCCCCTTTCGACGTCCAGGAGTCGCTCCAACCGATCCACGCGAAGGCGACGGAGTTGGCCCTCGACCACGACTCCGTTGTGATGTTGGCAGCTGCACTTACAACGTGCGCATACTGGAACGAGAAGATCAGCCATATGAATACCATACTCACGAAGACATCGTCCGAGCACGGCGTCAAGATGAGGGCTGCCTACGTAGACGTGCGCAAGATGATTACAGACGGGTCCACGGAAACAGCCAATGCGTTGGCAGCGCATTGTGGATCGGTCACTTACTGGGAGTCGTGCCTTGGCAAGGGCTACGTTGACGACCTCAGAAGCGAGATCATCAGGATCGGCCTGGGCTCTGCGAGGACCCTTCTGGAGAAGATCAACAGTCGCAGTGGGCCGTCAGACGTGGGCGCGACCTTGAACGCGCACAAGCAGCTGTTCAAGATCATGGACGAGCTGGACCCCTCGTCAGAGGATGTGCTCCGTGCCAATAAAGACTTGACCCGTGCGTTGAGTGACTTGGACCTCTCATCGAAGCATGGCATTTTGGTTCAGAGCGTGACCAACTGGAGAATCGACAATGAAGCCTCCGCGGCCGCCCTGAAGGACGCGGTCATGGCTTGCGACGGGAAGAAGCTCCCTGACGAGACGGCCCTCCTGGCCGACAAGATGATCAGCGAGATATTGGAGCACATCCTCGGCGGCATGAGTGACAAGGACGTTTCGGAGTTCAGGATTGTTGACGTTCACGTGCTTACGGCCTTCGACCTCCTCGCGAGGATGACCAACCACGCCGAGAAGACCCTCGAGATGGTGACCCTGATGCAGTATGCCAGGGCGACGCAATACCAGATCGTGAAGTTGCGCGACCACGACACTACTCCAGGGGACATCCCCGAGAAGACAGCTAGCCCAGAGGAGCTCACTTCGCACATGGACGCAGCAGTGCGGATGAAGACGCGGTGCGAGGCTGCATACGCTGCTGCGGCCGACGTCTTGAACGATTACAAGATCGCGAAGGACTCTGTCCCGATGATCACGGCTTTGGCTGCTGACGTCATCGCCGAGTTTGGCCTCAAGGCCCGCAACGCCATCCAGGAAGCGGTGGACAAGGGCATCCAGAAGGTGAACGCGAAGGTTGATTCTACGGAGGGGTTGATCACTTGGAAGGAGAAAAAATCAGCATGCAACTCCATCGACGAGTACGTCGATCTGTACACGAAGGCGCTGGAGGGGATCGACTTGGACTTTATTGTGGGACCGACTGACACCATTAGTGATCATATCAGGGAGCACGGGCAGCTCACGGCCAAGCACAGCCTCGACCCCCAGCCTGACTGGACCAAGGCTGTGAACGATGACCTGGACGCAGCCCGCGCGCTCGATGCCACGATGAACATTATGAAGTTCCTGAGCACGCCGAGCATCACGAAAGACAAGGTCGCCATGCAACGGAAGGCCGCGGCCGTCTCAGAGAAGCTCAAGAAGTGGAAGCTGGTGCCGACGCTGCTCGATGACATCATCTTGCAGCGCTTCAAGCTGGCGCTGAAATACAAGTGAGGAGCCCCGCCGACAGCGAGGACGCCTGCGCCAGCCACGACTCCGAGGCAAGGTTGCTGGAAGGAATGGTGTTTCCTTCCCTGTTGTCCCCTCCCTTGCTTCCTCCCCTCCTTGCCTCCCTCCCCTGCACTTTCCCTCCCGTCCCTCCTCCTCCCTCCTCCCCTCCCTCCTCCATCCCCGCTCCTCCCTTCGCCCTTCCTTTCGCTCCTTCCGCGCCCTCCCCGCCCCTCTTCGTTCCCCCTCCCATCTTTCCCCTCCCCTCCTCTACCTCCCCTCCTTCCCCTCCCGTCCCTCCCCCTTCCTCCATATCTCCATCCCTTAGTTTTCTCCCCACTCTCCCCGCCTTACTTCCTTCCCCTTCCCCTCCCCCCCCTCCGCTCCCTACCGTCCTTTCCTCTCCTCCTTTCCCTCCCCCCCTCCCCGTCGATCGACCGACCCATCGATCGATCGACTGGCGTGGCGGAGGAGGAGGAGGAGGAGGAGGCGGTGGAGGGGAAGTGCATATATCCTGCAGCTTGTCGGCCTGCCGCCTGCCCCCCCTGGTCGAGCAGCAGCGGGGTCGGGGGGGAACGCGAGGGGGGGGGGTCTTGGGAGCCGAGGTCCAGGATTCGAGGGTGAGCCTGAACGTAGGTCGAACGCCGCCTCCCTAGACCTCCCTCTCCTCTCCTTCCCCCTTGGCTCCTCCCCCTCCTCTCCTCCCTCCCTCCCCCCCCCCCCCTCCTGCTCCGCACTCCTCCTTTTATTAAAGCAAGCTAAGTACTGCTACCTTTTTTAATGTTTTGTTGAAGCTTTTGGGCGCATGTATATAGAACTATTGTTAAAGCTTTCCCAGACCTTTTTTCGCCATGTTCATCACTTGCAGAGTGTAGCGGGTTCGGCCCGACACGGAGCTGGTCCCATCACTGTAACTGGTAGCTCTCTCCTAGGAGCCCCTTGTGGCACGGACTGCGTATGCTGCCCCTGCCTGCCTGATCTGTATCCCATGATCATCTCCCTCGATCGCCATTCTCTGGTAGTTCCAGCCTTCGTTGCCACTTCCCACCTTCCCGCGTGAGCTGACACCCTTGCGTTATAGAGGAAGGTTCTCTCCCTCGGCCGCGTTGTTGGCTTGCCTTCCCGAAAGTTGATCCCAATTATGTGGCTGATCGTCTCCGACGAGACGTTTGTGGCACTGACAGCGCTGGCTGCCACTGCCTGCCTTCTTCCACGAGCTCATCCCCGCTATGCTCTTTTCCGCGTTGGAAGACAGGTCGTTCCTGTCGCCCGCTTTCTTGTATGAGCCGATGCCTGCATTTTAGCTGATCCTCTCAAGCGCGTCCTTTCCTGGTACTGTCAGCGTCTGCTGTCACTGCCTGCCCCTTGGCACGTGCGGATCCCAGCGACGTGCCCGATGACACTGTCCCACGTTCGGTTCCCTTGCAGCGCCGTCTGGTGTCACTGCTTGTTTTCCCAAGCGAACTGACCCCTGCGTTGTAGCTGGTGACCTCGTCCACGCTCGCCCTGCTGGCAGAAGCAACGCCTGCTGCAACTGTCTGCGTTTCGCAAGAGCTGATGCGGATCCTCTGTTGCGTGCCCCAGAGGCCTGGCTGCGGGGGTGCTCGGCCCACCAGACCGTATCTCGCGTTGCTTGCGCTTTGGCAGCGGCGCCGTGGAGGAGGGCACCGCTGCTTCCCAGGAGATGGAGGGAGAAGAAGAGCAGGAAGAGGAACGGGAGGGCGAGAAGGGGGAGGGAACGACGACGACGTCTGGGGCTTGGCGCGCATGCTTGATCAAATGTTGGGTACCACGTATTGATGTCGGTGGCTCGCGACCGAATTTCCGTCCCGAAGTTGGCGGTCGCAACGTCCGCTCGGCCGTGCCAGCACGAACGGCTCGGGTGCGGCATGGCTTGCAGGAGGAGGAACCGGAGGAAAACAATGCGGAGAAGGATAGCAGGGGAAAGGCGGAGGAGGAAGAGGAGGAGGAGCAGGGGGAGGAGGAGGGGGACGAGAAGCATGAAAAGGCGGGGGAGGAGGAGGAGGAGGAGGAGGAGGAAGAGAAGAAAAAGGAGGGGGAGGAGGGGGAGGAGGGGGAGGATGAGGAGGAGGAGGCGGAGGAGGATGAGGAGGTGGAGGGTGAGGAGAAGAAGGCTGGCCGGGGAGAGTGGGAGGTGGATGAGCGGGAGGAGGAAGAGGAAGAGGAGAAGCACGAGCGGGATAAGGGGAGGAGGCGGAGGAGAAAGTGGGGAAGGCGGGGGGATATGCTGACTGGAGGTGCAGGAGAGAAAGCGAGAGAGAGAGAGAGAGAGGCAGACAGACTAACAGACAGACAGAGACAGACAGAGAGACTTTTTGATCTGCGGGGCGAGAGCGAACCTCTTCCGCTGAAAGCTAAGCGGGACGCGCACAGCTTTAGTTAGCAGAGAAAGGGCGGAAGAAGGCGGGGCCTCACGCGGCTGGGAGAGGGCGAAGCCCTGGGATCAGGCGGTGTCGACAGGCAAACAGCAGACAGGCAGACAGACTGACTGACTGGCAGATAGGCTTACAGACAGGCAGGCAGGCAGAGGCAGACAGACACACAGAGACACGGGCACTCTTTGCTCAGTGGCGAGCTGGGTCCACCAGGCGGGTCGAGCTGGCGGCGGGTCGCGCGTGCAGCGCATGGGGCACAGGGGCGGGGCAGACACAAGCGCAGACATCGATATACAGAGAGTCGGAGTCGGGCGGGGGCAGGGAGGGGGAGGAGGGGAGACATGGGAGAAGAAGGGGGCTGGATTTCAACTGCCCACACGCGAGTTGGTAGTAGGTGTGCCATGTTTGTGGGCTATGTTCGTTCACCTGCTGCTCGGGGGATGACCTTCACGAGAGCCCCGAGGGGCATGGCTCTGGGGATGAGAGGCCGACCGCCGCCGCCAGAGGATATCCTCCCCGTCTCTGCCAGGTGCTGGCCAGGACTTCCACATAGAAATGCTGGAGTTGGGGAAGCACACGGATCTGGGTATGTTGTGGTTTGGGGCTCTTGGTGGGCCTCCGGACGCCCTCCGAGGTTACCGTCGCCGTCGTTCGTGCGCTCACCCGCCGCACCTACGGGCCGAAGGTGAATGGGCAAGAAGCCCACGCCGTAGGCTGTAAGCCTTGGTAGGCTGCATGATGTAGAGGACCTGGCTTGGCTTGATCCGTTCTGGCTCTGCACAGCCAGGCCTACTCTGGCGCAATCGGGCATAATCTGGTGTAGCCGCCCCCGGATCACCACGCAGGAGAGACCGTCCAGGGGGCCGGCGGGCGGCCCAAGTGGCCCCCGCGACGTGGTGGCGGCCCGGCGGTCACGCTGCGCGCGAGGAGTACATCCGCATGGTCGACGAGGACGGGGACAGGCGTCGGGGTGGCGCGCAGAAGGGCTGCGGTCCCGTCCTCGCCGCCGTCGACGTCGCAGCTCTCTGGGGAATTGCGCCGCCACGGCGGGGCGCGGATCCGAACGCGTGCCAGGCTGGGCCCCAGCAGTCAGGGGCAACGTCAGGGGGGAATTGGGCTCAGAGTGGCGACGCATGGACCCCCAATCGCCCATTGATCGCAGAGGGGGGCTTGACAATTGGCTCATCTTGCTCAGGAGCGTGCGGACTTGGTGTCGGGGCCGTGTCGCCGATCCAGCGGCGATGTTTTGCCGATTCCAGCTCGACGCGTCCCCCCCGAGACGGACCCCTGACTTTCCCCCTCAGCCTGGGTGGGCCAATGTCAGGAGGAGAAAAAACACACAGACACAATTAATCGTCGACCCCCCAGAAAATATGGGAAAATGTGGGAAGTGGTGGGGAAGACAAAAACCCAGAAAATATATGAAAATATGGGGGATCTTTTTATCTGTGTGTATTTATGTGTGTGTCCCAGGGCCCCTTCACAATGAAGGGGTCCTGGTTGTAGTTTGGTGGGCTTGGGTCGGAGGGGGGGCAAAGAGGGGCGGCTGTCTGAGAGAGCGGGGGCGGGGCACCCCTCCCGCCGGTCTTCGAGCAGGAGGTGGAGTACAGAGTTGATGAATCCCAGATTTGGAATTGTCGTCGCGACAATCGGGTCGGGCGAAAGGGGGGGATTGGGAAAGGGGGGGTTACGAAATTTGCTGCATGCAGCTGGTTTCGGCCTCACCGAGGGGCCAATTCCTCGATACATGGCCGCCTCCCGGCGCCGGGAGGCGCCGGGAAAATCAGCTACGTGAGCTGATTCTCAAACCCCCCCTTTGCTATCCCCCCCTTTCGCCCGACCCGAGACAAGTGCGTCACACTTCCATCGATCTACGAATATTGTACGTATGTGTTGTGTTGTAGGTTCGGCAAACGAATCCACTGTGGGAGCATCAATTCTGTAGTCGATCTCGTGCGCGAGTTCTGGGTGGTCGTTTCGGGGAGACTCCAGGCCCAGATGAGACGCCCCCCTGCGTTATGATGTTCCGACCTACTTTAGCTGTGGTCACCAGAAAGAGTTCCGAACACCAGTAAGATACCGAAAGTGGAGGGTTTTCGCGTGTCGGGCCCTGGGAGGCGACTGTCGGTCGACAGTTTGTCAGCGTGTCTGGTTTTCGAAGTTATGTGTGGGATGTGGTCCTTAACTACGATGGCAACAGCATGCGTGATACGGTGTGTGTGTGCATGACACGTACGTGCGCCGCGCGCTGGCGTTTGACCCTCGAAGGTTTTTTTGTGCCAAGGCACAACAAACATCATACATTACACTGGCAGCCCTGCTATACGGTCTTCGGCGACCGCACCACTGCGCAGGACTCGTCTCTCTTCAGAGAGAGCTCGTCACGATCAAGTGTACTTGCTTGCGCAGTGACCCTTAAATGGGACGGTCGACTGTCTTGCGAATCGCTTGCGCCATGGCACAGTCTTTTATTCGTTATCGACCAAATGCTGATGCGTTGACCAGAGCAGCAACGGATTGTGCATGTTTCACATCTTGGACGGTACTGTGAACAACTTCCATGGACGGGAATTCCGCACAGACATGCGCATGAGTGCTGCCTTGGCTTCC